TTTATTTTATATTTATATTTATTATTATTAGTTTTTATCTTTATTTTTATTCTTATTTTATTTTATTTTATTTCATTCCATTAGCATATTTATATTATAGGTTTGTATTTTTCAGAATCACCCCCTTTGGAGGAGCTAACTTAAGATGACATCTATGTATACATATTGTGTTTTGTGTTCTTCTGATACTTCTTGATATTAGGCTTGTTGTTATAAATACAACTTTCACTCAGTGAACCTTGCTGAATTTAATCTCGTATGCCTTGTTGTATTTGACCCCTGTATTGTTCCTGATCGATGGAACTGGTGAAATGGAACGCATATGCATTCCACGCGCAGACGGATGACGTCCTCTTGAGCCGCCGAGAGGTTTAACGCATATGCGTTCCACGAAGAGGAATGGAAGTCCAAATCAGGGCATGGACTGATAGAAGAATGGGAAACAGATGATCCCAGCACAATTGATAGGCGGAACGAACGGAGATAAGAAGAGGGGGATATTTAAAAGCCACTACTGACATTTGAGAGTTTGTGATGCATGATTTTTTATGCTGTACCTGTTTTTTACTATTTGATCCTGAGGAAGTCTACACTGAAGTAGACGAAACGCGTTGAGCTTTTTTATTGCTATTTATCTTCTACCTTTGTACCACCTGGGAGTAGAGGACTCAGTGATTTATTGATGAGCTTTCTTACTGCTCACGTCTTGTAAGTGTGTATAATTAAAGTGTGTCATTTCATATTTTAAACTTTGCTGCACTACGTCTAGTTTTTTCTTTTGACACGTATTCCTGGAAGATTTAAAGAGATACTGATGGGCTTGAACAATTCGTACATCCTGTGAGTGCATTATTACTACCAGGGGGCCACTTCTTTATTGTATGGTGTTGCCCTATGAAAATCTTTCTGCCTCTGTTTTTTTAGCTGTATCTTGTATTTGATATTAGTATTTGAGGATTTTGAGGAATCCTGTGTTACAACCTAATATATAAGGGAAGTAATAACCTTTATCCTTTATTCTTATTGCTGCACCTGGGTGGTCTACACACATATATACTACTGCATAAAAGCAGAGTGTGTGTCATTAAAAACCTCAGTTCTTCTTCACCCACAATCTGAGTCCTGTCTCTTATTGGGGGAATCTGCTACAAGCGATTGCTATACTCATCATACTCTCTTGCTATAATTACTGAGCTCTTGTAAGAGCTGTTCTGTTCCTGTTACGCTCTCTGGGGAAAGAGAGGTTCACCCACTGGAAGCTGAATCCTGGCCTTGGGTCCAGGGTGGATGGAGACGGAGAGACCCCGGCACAGCTGCATCGTTGGAAGTGGGGTCTGCAGTGCTGATGGTGTCGGTTGGAGTGCTTGGAGTCCTCGGCGAGCACTAGGAGAATCAATTGGCGGAGGTACTCGGTCGGAGTTAGGCTCCCATTTCCCCTTTAAGAATGGGCTTGCGATGCGAGCAGCGTTCCCAATACTGTCATTAATGGTAAATTTTCAGGCTGGACAAAAGTGGTAAGTGGTGTCCCTCAGGGTTCTGTTTTGGGACCACTTCTATTTAACATATTTATAAATGATCTTGAAATAGGCATTGAAAGCCATGTATCAGTGTTTGCAGATGAGACAAAACTTTGTAAAGTAATAAAATGTGAGCAGGATATTGCTTTGTTGCAGAGAGATTTGGATAGATTGGGGGACTGGGCACTAAAATGGCAGATGAAATTTAACATAGAGAAATGCAAAGTTATGCACTTCGGGGTTAAGAATGCACAAGCAACTTACACACTAAATGGTAGTAAATTAGGAATAACCACACACGAGAAGGATTTGGGCATTGTTATAGACAACAAATTAGGCAGCAATATGCAATGTCAATCTGCAGTTGCTAAGGCCAGTAAGATTTTGTCATGTATTAATAGGGGCATAAATTCTCGGGATGAAAATATAATTTTGCCTCTTTATAAATCGCTGGTAAGACCACACCTTGAATATGCTGTGCAATTTTGGGCGCCTGTTCTACAGAAGGATATCATGGCACTGGAGAGGGTCCAGAGACGAGCTACAAAATTGATAAAAGGAATGGAGCATTTTAGTTATGAAGAAAGGTTACAAAAATTAAATCTGTTTCGT